TCTTGAGTGAGAGGAACCAAGTCAGCAGGCAAAAGAGCATCAAGCTGGAGTCTGAGATCCAGCGTCTGGAGAGAGAAATCCTGGAAGTGAAAGAGCTTATCAACCAACGGGAAATTACTATCATGGAGCTCCATAAACAAGCAAAGGAGGCACAACATACAGAGACAAACACCAGAGAGACCAACGTCTCCACCAAAATCACCATTCTGGACCAAGAGACCGGCAAAGACATGTCAGCCTATGACGCCTATGTTGAAGGTCTGATTGATCGCAATCAGTACATCCACTTCCAAGAGCTTGAGTGTAGTTGGGAGGAAATCACAACCACCGGTCCTGAAGGTGAGACCACGCTTCTGCAGGATCGTAAAAGTGGAAAACAGTACTCCATCAAGACAGCCCTGCAAAATGGCAGACTGACCCAGTATGACCTTCAGCGCTACAGAGAGGGCAAAATGTCCATTTCAGAGTTTGCTCTTCTGGTCGCAGGGGAGAAGAAACCAACATCCTTCCCTCCTCTAAGTGCAACGCAAACAACAACTGTTCAGACACTCGCTCCAACAAGCCAGAGCTACAACTCCTCCTCTTCATTGACGCGCCGCCTGTCCTACTCCAGCAATAGCAACTTAAACTCACTGCTGATCACCAATGGAGATGAGCTCTTCCCGATTTCTGGAATCTTAGATGTCACCACAGACAGCCGCATGTCTGTACGAAGTGCCCTAACACGCAAACTGATTGATCAAGACACAGCGATGAGACTTCTGGAAGCTCAGGCTGCCACTGGAGGTATTGTGGATCTGAACAAGAAGGACAAGCTCTCCATTCACAAGGCAGCAGAGCATGGATTGATTGATTCGAGCCATCTTCACAAACTCCTCAGTGCCCAGAAGGCCTTTACTGGTTTTGAAGACCCCGTGTCCAAAGAACGAATGTCCGTGGGAGAAGCTGCCCGCAGGGGATGGATCCCCAATGACAGTGGCATGTGGTTTATGGAGGCGCAGATGCTGACCGGCGGACTGGTAGACCCGAACCGAGCAGGTCGCATTGACATGCAAAATGCTGTTGACACAAAACTGATCGACGCATCTGTGGCCAAGAAACTTCAGGATGATTCGGCATTCATGAAGAACGTGATCGACCCCATCAAGAAGGAAAAGATCACATATAAGGAGGCCATGGCTCGATGCAAGAGGGACTACACCACAGGGCTGCTCCTGCTCCCAGCTGCCTCGACTGACACTGTTGACGCTCCATCCTATGCCAGCTACAAATTCTCCAGAAGATAAAGACAAACCCAAGAGTGATAACAGATTTAAGTGCTGCATAACAAGGGACTTTTAATTCTAGGGCTTTTTTCATACCCATATATAAGATAAATAATCTCTGGAGCCTCTCATACTGAGGAGTTTATCTTTTCCTGTCTATGCTTTTCCAGTTACTCATTATTTTCTGGTTTATCTTAATGAATGGGCTGAATTGATTTTTGAACTTCATATATAATAAAAAGTCCTATTTCATATATACCTAAAGTGACTTTGTATGCATTATTTTTCCAGCTAGGAAAAGTGAATATCTACAGTAAATTCAATCTCTGAATGAAAACGCTCAACAGCAGGGTTTCCCAAACTGGGGTTCGTGAACCCCTGGAGGTTTGAAAGGGAACTGCAAGTGATTTGTGAGTTAATGAAAATCAATTAATCATAAAAATCTAAAATTAAAAAATATATATATATATTAAAATCACAATACAACCCTTGCAAAAAAGTTGATATAGTTAAATGTTTACTTGCATATCATGTGGCTCACCAAGATCAGAGAACTGTGAACATGCAAATATGCCGTTAAATTATTAACTTCAAGTAAATATTTTAGCTCAGAGGGGTACGGGTGACAAAAAATGTTGGGAATCTCCTCTATACAGGGTTTCTAGAATTTATCAGAGTTTTGCTCCATAATAAAAGGTTTCCCTAATAATAAAGGCCTAAACATGAAATAATTTTGACCAAGAAAATGCTAAGAAGCATACATTTTCATTCCACTCTAATAGTAATAATATTAGTTATAAGTTACAGTATTTTTACTGATTCACATATGTGATCTTACACATAAAAACAACACATATACACATAAATGTACACACATAAATGTGTTTACCATCTGAAATTTGTTTATTTTTCATACAAATGTATGACTGGAAAAATATAGAACATATTTATATATATATATATATATAGAGAGAGAGAGAGAGAGAGAGAGAGAGAGAGAGAGAGAGAGAGATAATGCTATTAAATATCACAGTACAGTTGCAAGCATATGCACATTTTTAATTTGCAAACAAATCAAAGTACTTTTATTCAGATTGTTCCTGATCACCACAGAATCCCCTCTGGTCATGTACAGTATTGTGCAAAACTCAAATGTCTCAAAATGTCCCTTGCACAAACAATTAAAAATACTTCACCATCAAAAACGATATGGAGTGTTTACATAACTTCAACTCGGATACAATAAGTATCTGATGTAAACTTGGTCCACTTTTCAAACTCATTCATTCATTGTCTTCCAAAGTGCGTCATCCATACACAAATCAAAACGACATGTCCTACGGCTGTTTAACACGTGTTGAACATCTATGTGGCTTTAAACCTTTCAGTCATGGTTAGCCTGAATCTGTCTATTGGTCTGCATCTGGCTGGTCCATAGAAGGCTGTAACAATCATTAATGCAAATACTTGAACCTGAATATTGGTTGTTTTGAAATCCAGAGCCTCAGTGCCAGACGAAAATGATATTAAAATCGTAATTTAAAAAACATAGACATCATTTTAGGTCACAATGAAGCAAACAGCTTTGGTTATGGGTGGATGTTCATTTAACATGTTTTAACCTTTAACCTTTCACTAATGACATCACCCAGGAAGTGACATCATCTTGGAGGAGAAACGGCTGCACAGACATCAGTAAGTGTTATCAAATGATTTGATGAATTCTGTGATTGTTTTAGTCTCTAAACGTTCCATCTTGTTTGGAAAATGTACAGATTAGTTTGATTTTAAAAGATGGTCAAACTATGAAAATTAACTTAAAGGTGACGCTTATATAAGCGAACTGTCAATAAGCAATGCACAACTTGAGCACTTTATGAACATCTGCACATTTTCTTGTTGTTTTGTTATTAATCAAGTTCAAATTGAAATTAAAGAATGATAGTCTGACCCTTGAACTTACAGAAGCGAATCAGATCTTGTCTTTTAATTGAAAATTTACCATCAGACGTTTAACCAAGAAAAAGTATTTTTTCTGTAATTGTTGGTTTCTTATTCATGAAAAACAAAAAGGTTTCCATTGACAGGACATTGAGCGACTGGCTAATGTGTTACAATATCAACAATACAAATGTATTTAGCAGTTATTTTGCATGTCGTTGATGAAAAACTGTTATTTCCCAGGAGGATCTGAAGGCAGCATGTTCGGTGCACTTTTCTAGAGAACAGCAGAACAGTTTCATGGCTAGAAGGAAAATATTGATATTTTTGTATGTATTATTTATATTTTAAATAATGGCTCATCTATGGCAGGCATCGCAAACACTTCAGACTCTGATGGAGATGACATTGAGATGATATTGAGATGATACTGGTGCAGGCGGCTGGTGAGGCTTTATCATAAACACAAACATCTTCTGAGTCAAACTGCTCTTGAATAATAATAAACAGAACACATTTTGATTTCTATCATAGAAAAATAAAGATGAACAACTATATCATTTATTTTCAACACTGACACTTCTGAAAATCAAGATTGGTGGATCGCAGCAGCATAAACTCCAGCATAACACAGATGTCTGTGCATCAAACCTCACCCCCAAATCACAAAATATACTCGCAAAATCAATTTCACATTTAAAACTACATACGTTAATTACTTCTTACAAAATGAGAATTTAGGGTTAAATGGTCAGAAAATAGTCACAATGTTAAAAAAAAAATCATAATGGTCTTCATTTTCATAATATACATACATATTCTGATTTTTGGGTGAAATTTGATGTGGACATGTTTTCAGACACATGAGCATCAGAGGTGATGAATCTTTTTAGCTCACATTTCATTCCAAAAGAAGTTGTGTTTTGCATAAAGAAAACAACGCTCAACTTATATTAAGTGAAGAAGCTTTGCATTGGGAATGTTTGCAATTTAATGTTTCATTGTCATGCTACAATTATTTCTTTTGATTTTTGGGGTGAGAAGGCATGGCCATGTTTTCAGATGCTCAAGCATCCCAGATTAATGAATATTTCACTCCATATTTCACTCCAAAAGTCACAGAAATAAAAAAGAAATTATGTTTTGCATAAAGTAAAAACAGTCAGTTTTAACAGTCAATGTAAAAACAGTCAGGTTTTATGCAAAATGTAATTTCTAATTTATTTGTATTAATTTCAAGGGTGAAAAGAGACATTTCATCCCAGTTAAAAAAAAGAATAAGTAATGATTTGCTTTTGCATAAAGAAAATTAAGCTTATTTTGTGGATTAGATATTGATGTTTTTCATTGTGCTATTTCTGAATTAAAAAAAATTGTCAGGAAAATGATGTCACAATGTAAAAGCCCATTTCCTCAACGCAAAATATAATTTCTTATTTTTTCCTCCCTTTGTTTTTGGGGTAAAATGCAACTTGAGCATGTTTTCAGATGCACAAGCATCAGAGATGATGAATCTCAACCTTTTCAGCTCATGTTTCACCCCCAAAACCACACAAAATAAATTAAAAAATCATGTTTTGCATAAAGAAAGTGACATTTATTTGTAGATTTAATTACTTTGCAGTAAAAATAATTTGTGGTCAGAAAATGACAATGATTTGCAAACATTTTTGCATAAGAAAAAACAGCTTATTTTTTACATGTTTTAAATAAAAATGTGGGATTTGATACGTTTAACTGTCATGAAAATAGTGTTGCAATGCAAAAACAATCTATTTTCTTAATGCAAAACATAATTTCCTATTATTTTTACTTCTGTTTTTGGGGCGAAGCATGACCTAGACATGTTTTTTATGAGATTTACAATTCTTTAATAAAACAAACAAACGAACATTAAATTCAAGTTTAACAGCAGCCAGTCGGGATTGTGCGGTTCAGGTAAAGGACCTCTCATTTTAAACAGCTGTTTGCGGTTCATGCGGAGATGAGGCGGGCCGCTCCTCTGTGCACCTGCGCCTGAAGGGGTCCGTACTCCACGCGCTCCCCGTCCACCGTCATCACCCCGGCCTCGCTCAGCGGTTCCAGCCTCAGCGCTCGCGCGCGACGGTACACCAGATGCGTGCAGCCCCAGTCCAGGTGCGTCCCACTCTGCATGGCCCAGAAGAGCCGCAGCAGCGTGGTGCGCGAGATTCCCGCCGTCACGTAGAACAGATGAATGAGTCCGTCGTCGGCGTGAGCGTCCGGAGCCGCCAGCAGATCCTCGCCCAGGTGCGACTGGAACATGGCGAGCACCAGGACGAACTCCCGCTCCTCCACCAGCGTCCAGTCCTGCGGGACGGGCTGCTCCAGCGGGACCAGCAGGTGGTCGGGCAGCCGGCTGTCAGCGGTAGAAAAGCCAGCAGAGGCCGATTCTCGCTGGCTTTCGGCAGGCAGGAACGCTAGTTTCCCCTGATAGATCCGTAAGTAGGCCAGACGCAGCAGCGTGCTGAGGAGAAAGCGCAGTGCTCCGATCTGGCGGAACTGCTCGCTCTCGATGTCCACGTCGGCCACGAAGCCCCAGGCCAGAGACAGGAAGGAGAAGAGACGAGCACCGGACGACAGACGGATGGAGATCAGGTCCAGTTTAGAGATCAGACCCTTACAGAGCAAAAAGCCACAGCTGGTCAGCAGATCTTCACCCCACACCGGAGACGCTCTGCAGAGAACAAGCAAACACAAATACATGCTCACAACATGACAGATCAATCAGTCAGTGCTTACTGGATACAAATGACCGTAAAATAAAACAAAATGAACCTGATAATATTAGTTGTATACCTAAACACCCGCTACAACAGATTTATTTTCTATTACAGTATTTCTTAATATTTTGAATTTGCTGTTTTTGTTTTCAGTTTAGCTTAAGTTTTTGTCATTTTTATTAGTTTTCCCCCCTCCAAACATTTATATTCAGCTTTAATTTTATGTATTTTTATTTAATATTTCAACTTGTTTTTAGTCAGTTTCTAATCTTCTAAAGTAATTTATATTTATTTTAGTAATTTTAGTGCTAAAAAATTTTTTTCCGGTTATTTGCCAAGACAACATTTCAACATCAAGTTTTTTTTAAATTCAGGTTTTTCATCTAATATTTTATTTTATCGCGGCTTTACTTGAATCACCAAAACATTTGTAATATTTTTAGTTAACAATAACAACATATCATAAATTAATTAGCAAATTACATTAGCAAAACTTTAATCAACGAAATGAAGTTTATATAATGCAGCATAATTTTACAAACGGCAAAATGAACCTTATAATATCCTTATAATATAATATTTATTTATTAGATTAAAATATTAATTACTATTAATATTTTGAATTAGCCTTTCTTTTAAATCTATTTCTATTTAATTTATTTAATTTAAATGTATTTTTAACATTTTAGTTTGAGTAATTTCGTTATGTGCTTCTGTCATTTTCATTAGATTTTTTTTTTTTAATATTTTTATTCAGCTTTAATAGATTTTTTATTTAACTTTAGTTTTAGTAATTGTAGTACTTCATCTTTAACTTATTTGACCTATTTCCTTTAGTTGTCAAGGCAACATTTAATTTTTTTTTGTTCAAGTTCACATTTTTTCATCTAATATTTATTTTATGTCAGCTTTAGTTCAGTTACCGACAATAGTAGGTCTATTCAGTATATAGTGTACACAGTGCTAGTATTTCATTCTCAACACATCTTAAGTCTTGATCAGAGCACCTGACAGCCATCATGACAAGAGAAAACTCACCTCTAGTCGTTTAAGTACAGATCTTTGTTTTCTTGAATGAAACACTGAACTCCCTGCAGCATTTTAGCTTCTTTAGCTCAAACAAGGGGAAAAACCGGCTCACAATGCACCGCACATTCAACAATAAACAAACAGGCGAATGGCGGAAATCGAGATTACAGCCGTTACATTTAGCGTTACATTCACCATTTCTTTGCAAGTTTCTATTTGAAAATAACTGATGAGATTAATAAACCAGGAAAACGGATGAACAAAGTTATTACTGGCACATCTGCAGTTCTGAAGTACTAATAAAAGGTTGAAACATGAACGATGTGCTGACTTTAATCAAATGACTGTTTGCTTACAGTCTCATTAACTGACAGTAGGGGGCGTTTGTGCTTCATTAATTAAAGACTGAATAATGAAGTCTCTGTTCAATCATTTCTCGGGTGAGTTGAATACTGATGAATGTTCTGCTTCATCTTCATAAATAGAAATGACTCTAATAAAGCTGACATTCGAGTCTCGTACCGGCAGGGATTGTAGGTGGGGAGAGTGAATGTACAGCGCTCTCTCCCACCTTCAATACCACGACTGAGGTGCCCTTGAGCAAGGCACCGAACCCCCAACTGCTCCCCAGGCGCCGCAGCATAAATGGCTGCCCACTGCTCCGGGTGTGTGTTCACAGTGTGTGTGTGTTCACTGCTGTGTGTAATTCCGAGTATGGGTCACCATACTTGGCCACATGTCACGTCACGTCACTTTAATGAGGTTCAAGTCGAGTGTTTTATGAACTGACCCGTTATCACCTGCTCTCTGATCAGATGTAAGTCACTGGCGATTCATTAATGCTTTCATTCAGTTTTCTCTCTCAGCAGAACTGAACTTTTATTCTTTAGTTCAAAGAAATCCCACAGAGATTCAACTCTCACAAACAGACGCTAAAGACTGGAATAATGACTGCTTGCATCGCAAACTTTAAATTGAAGATCTGGTCTGAACGAAGCACAGCACAGGTTGGGTTTAATGGAGATCACTAATTCAAATGAGGTCTAAAGCTGCATGAACACTGACTCTAGATCAGAGATTCAGAGCGTGCTTCAGTCAGATTGGCTGGCTTTACTGTATTTCAAAGAGTTTATACAATTTGTATCTGGGAAACTCTCCTGAGGAAGCGTTGCCATTTTTATGTCATCAAATTATATATTAACGAGTTCTGTTTAAGACATTCAATTTTAAATGAATGAGATATCCAATAGAGATGCACAATATAGCAGAACCATATTGGCTGCTGGCTGATATTACTGAGATTTTTTGTTACTATTAAATTTTGGCCTTGGATAGGCCCTGTTTAATGGATATGAATATTTCCCTCATTTTGACATTTAATGAGGGAATATGATTTAATCTTTAAAACACTAGTAAATTAATAAGTCTGTTAAATGTAATTTTTTAGAAAATGTCAAAATTAATACAAATATGTCATACTGTGCATTAATGTTGTGGTCCCTAAATTCAAAATGAATTCTAAATTAAGAAAATTAATTTAAAATAAAATAAAATACAAATACAATTATATAAAATTTTAATTAATAAATTAAATGATTACAGTATTTTTTAATGAATTAGATAATTAATTAAAACGATTTAAATTAATGTTTAGTTTTTAATGTTTTATTTTGAGTTTACATACAAAACAGAACAGAATTTTATTAATGGTCATAACGTATTGGCTTTGGCCCAAATTTTTATACTGAATTTCATAAAATTTAAATTAAATTACTAAAATTACATAAAATTTTATATAAATTGGATCTTTTATTTAAATCATTAAATATTTAAATTAAAGTTTAGTTTTTGTGTTTTGTTTTTAAATTTATATATAAAACAGAATAGAATTGTATTATTTGCCATAACGTATTTGTCACGTTGCACACACACGAGGGATGAGGAGACGCTGGAGAATATGTTGACAGGACTTTATTTGCATGAACCAAGGGAGACGAACACAGGAAGACGTTCACACGAAGACGTACAACAGCGGACAGAGAACTTGGGACTGGGAACACATTTTATACACACACACAGGAGGAGGGGATGACGAGACACACCTGGGAGCAATAAACCATCATGGGGAACACCTGGGACAAATTAAACATGGGAAAGGAAAACCTGGGGAGCAAGACACAGACAAAACATGGAACAGAGTCTGACAGTATTGGCATTGCCCGAATTTTAATAAAACTTATATTAAATTATTAAATTAAATTTTAAATGAATCGGATAATTCATTTAAATCAATTAAATTAAATTAATAACTTATTAGCACTGAGATTTAATATTGGATTTCATACAATTTAAATAAATAAAATTTGAAATGAATTAGTTCATTTAAAGTAATGAAATGAAATTAAAGTTTAGTTTTTAGCATTTTATTTTTAATTTCTATAGCATATCATTTCATTATTGGCTGTAATGTATTGCCATTAGCCAGAATTTTAATATCGGCTTTCATATTTACTGGTCTCTAAACATCATGTAATAAAGCTAGATCCGGTTGGTCCCTTTACATGTCAATCAGACAGTGTGGTGGGCGGTGCTTGTCCTGCATGATCTAATGAGTTCTCTCTGATTGGCTCACCGTGTGTAGTGATGGACGGAAGCAGCCAGTGCATTTCCTGAACCTCCGGGCAGGATTCCCAGAGGAGTCTGGATGGCCTTTTCCCAATCCGGCCTATCCATTAGACCGTTCACCACCTAAAACACACACACACACACCCCTACATGAGCTGAATGCACGCACACAGAAAGAGACGGACACAAGCGATCTGCACACACCTCAAACAGCAGCCCGTCTCCAGACAGAATGACCAGAGCGTCCCACTGCGTCAGGTCAGCGCTCCTCACCAGATCCCGCGCGTGATTCTGACGCTCTGTAGGATCAGATCACAGCAGACGCTCAGATTTCTGTCCTGTGAGCCACTCAATAGACTTCAAGAGCAGATTCTCTGTGATGCATTAAAGTCACCTATTAGAGCTCAACTAGAAGTGCTGATACAGCTGCAGAGAGAGATCTGATAGCATTGCGATGCTATTATACAGTACAGTCTGCAGTTGTTATTAATATTTTGAATTAGTTTTATTTTTATATTTTCTGCTTTCATTTTAAACTTTTAGTTAAAGTTTTTGTCATTTTAAATGTGTAACCGTTTCCACAAAAATACAGCACAGCTGTTCTCAGCTTTGATAATAATCAGAAATGTTTCATATTAGAATGATTCCTGAAGAATCATGTGACACTGAAGACTGGAGTAATGATGCTGAAAATTCAGCTTTGATCACAGGAATAAATTACATTTGAACAGATATTCACATAGAAAACACTTATTTTAAATTCTAATAATATTTTACTATTTTTTACTGTATTTTTGATCAAATAAAAGCAGCCTTGGTGAGCACAAAGCACTTTTCTCAAAATCACTTGCCCCCAAACTTTTGAACAATAGTGTAGTTTTTTACTAAACCTGGAGTTGAATATAATTGGCTCTTATGAGAAATTGCTTGTGATGTTCCTCATTTGTAAGTTGCGTAAGTTCATCAATTAAATGAATGAATGTTAATTATTCAGTTAGATACAGCAGTTCATCTCAGAGCATAAGACAAATGCATGAAACTCCTATAAACGTTTCACAGTCTAAACGGTATGAAGTTTTGATCCTATGTGTGTGTGTGTGTGTGTGAGTAACAGCACTGATGGAGTGCGTGTGTGTGTGTGTGTGTAACAGCACTGATGGCGTGTGTGTGTGTGTGTGTGTAACAGCACTGATGGCGTGTGTGTGTGTGTGTGTGTAACAGCACTGATGGCGTGTGTGTGTGTGTGTGTGTAACAGCACTGATGGCGTGTGTGTGTGTGTGTGTGTAACAGCACTGATGGCGTGTGTGTGTGTGTGTGTGTAACAGCACTGATGGCGTGTGTGTGTGTGTGTGTGTAACAGCACTGATGGCGTGTGTGTGTGTGTGTGTGTAACAGCACTGATGGAGTGTGTGCGCGTTTTTGTGACAAATGAGTACATAAATTTGTATAATGACAAAGGTATGACAGGTATTACAAGGAGAAGGTGACTTTTCAGGACATTACGCCATGTCCCCACTTTTCAAAACGCTTATAAATCACACAGAATGGAGTGTATTGAAAATCTGAAATAGCACAAAGTTTCCTGTGAGGGGTAGGTTTAGGGGTAGGGTTGGTGTAGGGCAATAGAATATACGGTCTGTACAGTATAAAAACCATTACGCCTATGGGATGTCCCCACTTTTCACAAAAACAAACCTGTGTGTGTGTAACAGCACTGATGGAGTGTGTGTGTGTGTGTGTGTGTGTGTAGAGTGACTGATTCAGCAGAAATGCCTAAAGCTGAGACCACACACACACACACACACACACATTCATTGGCTTCGGTGTGTATGTGGTGTGGTGTGGTGTGTTAATAGAGGAAGACGGATCACAGGCAGAAACATCACAGTGAGCCACATTACAGATCACACATCAAATCTGCTTCATTCCCGGGATAAACAGTGTCATAGTCATAGTTTAGCGGATCACTACTGATCTTACAGGACATCTTTTTATCCAGATCAGGAGAAACATACACCAGTGTTAATATTATTGTTATTTTTATGACAATTAAGCACAGTTGGCCCAGAATTCTCATTAGTGTAAACCCAAGCTCATTACTGTAATGCATGTGTATGTTTAACAGGAAACCATAAATCAGGGGTAAATAGGTTTACTGTCATGAAAATAATTCTGTCTATCTGTCTGTCCATCCATCCAACATTCTTTCCATCCATTGTTCTATCCATCAATCATCCATCCATCATCTCTCATACTATCATCATTCCATCATTCATCCATTCATCATTCTATCGTCCATCCCTCCATCGTTCTATCATCCATCCCTCCATCGTTCTATCATCCATCCCTCCATCGTTCTATCGTCCATCCATCCATCCATCCATCCCTCCATCATTCTATCATCAATCCATCCATCTGTCCCTCATCCATCGTTCCATCTATCCATTCATCTATCTACAGTATTGTTCTATCCATCCATGCATAGGGAACACAAACGGCACAGTTTCCTGAGAGTAAATCATGCACAACTGATGTGCAAACACACGTCTACCT